CTAGTACATATTAAGTAACAACATAGTAACTAACCCTTACATATAATTTCTTTACAGATAGTCAATGGCCGACCTTACTTTCTGAAACAGAAAAGTTCTTTTGCAACTGCTATATTAAATTCATGGCATCCTAATTAATTTAATTTATTTTTTTGTAATCGATAGCTAATATATTTTGTAAAAAAAGATTAGGAAGTTTAAAGTAAAATTAGATCCATATACTTATCAGCACAATTGATAAGATAGAAAATATTTTCATTAGAAAAGCACATGCAAGCGATAACGTTATCGAGGCTCATGCTCTTTATCTTCGACGAAGTTGTTTGTGAAAATCTGATACAGTATTGTATTATCGGGCATAAGTAAGTACACTGTAACGAATACAGATATACTTTATTCCACTAAGTATTAAAAGCCGCGGTCAAGTTGAAGAATCTGATATAAGGAAGTAACCTAATCTATCGCTTAAAAAAAAACTACCACATTGGTGAAAAAATTTCGCAGTGTGTAGTCCATAATCAATATATATCATACTCGTGTACTTTCTTACAGTTAAATTTTAAGCCGCATAGGATAAAGTTGGAATTAATCTTTTGCGCAGATCATTGCGTATTTCAATAAAAATAGTTTTATATATCGATTTATACATGATTTCTCTTTATACCACTGTAAAATATATCGACCTTGTGGCAGGCAAATTTTCATTTCCTTACAGTGAACAATTCTTTGAGAAGGTTAATATATGAAATCACAGATGTAACTGAATTTCTTTGAAATGATCGGTAAATAGTTGGCAATTGAGAGAGTTGTTCCATACTGTGTTAAATAAAACAAGATTGAGCATGCAACCTCCTCGCAGTATTTTGTATACAAAATCCAAGGCGAAAACAGTGATTCTATTCTTACACGCGCTTTAATTTTATCAGCTACCAATTGGAATCATCGAGGCAAGAAAGGGATTTGAAATAGGTAAAGATATCGCAGTTACTTTCGTAATATAATAAATATATTTTTAAGATAATCTTTTTTTTCAAATAACCTAACGAATAACGATGTATTCTTTGTAAAAACAATCGATATTAATCATATCTTATTTGTACAAATAGATTTTATCACAAGCCTGCTAAAAGATTTATATTTAGAAGGAGCAATAGAGAAAATATAAAACTATGAATGGCGAGCAGGAGTTACATACAAAGAGTCACCGACGCAGACCGTATCTGAAGTTGAGATTAAATCATCGGAAACAAAGATTTTAACCAATACTTCTTTGCGATAATTACTTTCGCCCATCGTCGTCGTGTTATAAAGAACGTTCGGAATTTTCCGAACACATTGAAGACTTACGAATTTAACCTCAAATGCGAAGAACACCGAGAAATCTCTTCCGTGAAACAGTTAATGCCGATCAAGAATGATTAATCAACAAATACAAAAAGACATCGCTATCTTCTTTTATCTTTTTAAATAATACGTACCAACGTGGATTCCGTTAAATTTTAATCCTATCTGGAAGCATTACGCGATAGATTCTAAAGCTTCTCTACGAGCAATGTAATCTAGAGATTTTAGTCACAAAGATTGTTCTTAACATTGTTCGTTGAAACAATACAATTTATTCGATTGATTTTTTGATACACACTGGGAAAGAGCTGGATAATTTTAATTTTTTTTTCCTTTTTTTAGCCCTAATTACATATGCAAGGATGATCAGCTCGATGGATGATTAAATGTTACGAGCGGTTTTTTGGAAGTTCGAATCATAGAAACGTATACGGATAAACAGAAAAGATGGAAATTTCGGCTGATAAAAAAGAAAGAATAATCGTCTGACTTTCGATAAATCACAATAAAACAAATGGACAGCCAATATTCCGTGTTCTATCAGCGTGAAAAACAGCATGCACCTGGCAATTCGCGGGGGAAAATCTAACTGGTACAATTGATTCCTCGTTCCACGAGTCAACGCGTTCCTTGCACGAAAATAAATAGTGCTCGATTTAATCCCAGCTATCGATTTCAGCAAACCCGTTGGAAATCTTCTTTACACTAATGAACTTGAAATCGTTGTTTAAAAAGAGGTACTAACCTTATCAACAAAAGGTGAGCGTCGAAGACGTTAAATAACAACAAGAAATTACGAAATGAAATTTCGAATTACCTTAAATTACAATGTAAACGCTAAATTTAATTCAAGTTCATAGCTAATGGATTAATACTCCGTTACAGATTACTACGATTGAAAAATCGCAATAGCGCCCAACTACTAGAAATCATATTGTTACAATTGCTGTTATTAGGCGACAGTTACAAGGCGAGGGTTAAGTATTCTCGATGTGCAATGGAACGGTGTAATATAAACAAAAGTGTTAAATTTACCTTTGTCTTTAAACATTCACCACCACGCACGTTGTACGTTGAAAAAATTTGACATATCTACATCATTCTATCTTAACGCAAAGGAATCTGTTTCCTATATTTAAATCCTTAACAATTAACAATAACGATAACGAGACGTCTTTTAAGTAATTTTTCTCACTAGAATAAATTAAGAATACCGAGGAACGAAAAATAAGAAGTACGTATTAATTTGGCTTGTAGAGCGTATATCGGTAGAGACTTCTAGTTATTTCGGCCCTTTGTCTCTGTATCCGACATTTTATTAGATAATAAATCGCTAGTTTTTATTTTTATCTGGTTGGTATCTTGATAAATTCGTAAAAAATCATGGCGGTCATTTCTATCGCGATATATCGTAATACTAATAAAAGGTATATTTGTTTAATGCGGCAAAAAATGTTTCATTTTTGAAGGTACTAAATCGAACGATTTCAAAATGGATGTCCCTACGCGCTACATATTTCTCAGTATTGTCCGGTAACGTGACTCGCAGAATACAGGAAGATCCTAATAGCGGCAAACCTTGACGTAATGACTTTGTCGTGTGTTTTTTAATCACGTAGCAAGCGGTTTTAAATACAAGGCTGTATTGTACACACAATTAAAACGTATAAAACGATGTGAGGGAATAATACAATTAATTTCAACGATAAACAAGTGTACACAATTCATAATAATTGCGTCTATAGATATAGAACAAAGGGTCGATAATTTTGTTCGAATTATTGCAAAGATCGCGATCGTCACGTCACACGTGGCGAGCAAGGAATGTAGACAAAAATTAAGGAACACTTATACATATATTTAAGTTAGATGCTAATAGAAGCCTCCATATTGAATTTCATAGACTAGACTCGACAAGATCTCTTAACCTTTTCGATCCTAACATCATATTGATCGGACGCATGCCATGTACACAAATATTGAACCAATCCATCCAAGCTGTTATAGTTACAGGCAATACGTACGCAAGGGGCTAAATTTCATAAAATTTCATAAAATTTCAACATCAAAAAGGTTAGGTTCCTAACCCTAAAATTTTATAAATATCGTAAAAAGCTTCTAGAAATAAATTAATCACCAGAAATGCATCTTGGATGATTCTAATTATTCTTAGGAAATAATTAAACCAGATAAATACAGCATAAAAAATATTAACATATTTTTTGTAAAAGAATATAATTAAGAGACATGGCACGATCCTTTTTCCTTAACATTTATAAGAGGCACACGAACCTTTCAATTTATTGGAACTTATTTTTTACATTCGTAATGTTATTTTCTTCGTTTTTTAATATTTTTTTTCTTTTTTTCCCTAGGATACTATGATTATGCATTTGATATTCTCTATTCGAAATATAAACATGTTCGATAACACGGATATATTTACAAATGAAAGTGAACTTGAACAAATTTACTCGATGGTAAAGAAAAGTCAATAGAAAGGTACATGTGTGCGACTAAATTGCCCGTCGGAAACTATTAATCGTTTCGATTACCCGACGTGAAAATAATTAATGTTCGTGAGTACGTACGGAAAAAAGGCAAATAATATACGAATACATATAAATTTCGAACAAAGCATAACCTAGTCTGCATATCAGACCGTTCAGGCAAACGAAGGTAAATCGGTGAATATTTACACAAACGTATTTATTCGAATTTAATGGTTCGTCGGGACTTTGTTCGAATTAATTTCTTGCACTGATATGAATCGCGTATTAAGGTACAGCAATGACATGTTAAGTTGATCCGGAAACCAGCGCAACCGTATTTCCTCGCAGGAATTGTTTTATTAGAACGCACCAATAATTTTAAGTCCAGTAATATCACGACAATGACTTAAAGGTCGACCTCGTTGCAGGCGAGGGTCTTAAAAAGGAGATATTACGTATACATCGATTATTATTTACATTTTGTGCCCCTAACATACCTATCATAGATAAGAAATGCTTGATTTTTATACAATAGATTTTTTCTTTCAGAAACCACTGCACGAGAAATGAGCACACCGTTATGAGCTAGCGGAGATGATATACTGAACAATTGCAAATCATGATCGCGCACGTGCATACGTGTGCATCACGATTATCGTATTTACGTAAGCCATACATGCGTATATATGCACACGTCCGCGCGCGCGAATACCCTTATTTAGTACGTATCATGCGTATACGGTGTATATTTTTTCCTCGTTCTAACGTAATACAAGTATAACAAATACCATATGCGTAATAGCATAATATATCGGTTATTACAAAACACCCACGCTTGTAGTTCGATGTGGATGTTGGTCTTTTCATGTACATACATATATTTACAATTCATATAGGGA